GCTTTGGTGTCATTTAATGTATTCCTCTATTCTATTTCCTGTGAAGTAGAAATTGGTTCTAAAGACTTGATTTAGGATGGAGTTAACTTTTGGTAAGAATAATTCATAGGTGATATTTAGGTTTTTGAAGTTTCAGGGTTTTTTTGTTTTGTTTTTTGTTTTTGTCGGTCGTGGGGCTTGAACTCTGGGCCTGGGCGCTGTCCCTCAGCTCTTCAGCTCAAGGCGAGCGCTCTACCACTTGAGCCACAGGGCCACTTCCATGAAGTTTCAGTTTTTTTATGATGGGTGAATGTCAGTTTTAGGCAGTGCTTCCTGGTTTATAAAGTGCTTTCGCGTACAGTTTTCCCTGGCAGTATTATTATTGTTAAATTTTTAAATGGTTATTATAAAGGTAATGTACAAAGAGTTTGCCGTTTCATAAGTCAGCAATGTCTTACAAATGACTTACATTTCTTCTTGAACAACGCTACCTCTTCCCTTTCTTCTTTCCCAGTTTTTCCTCCAGTCCCCTCCCACAAGTTTGTATGGTTCATTTTCAACATAGTATCTACTGGCACTGTGCATTTATTCATTTTTTTGTCCCTCTCTTTCTTTCTTTCTCTTTCTTTCCTTTCTCTCTTTCTTTTTCTCTTTTTCTCTTTCTCTCTCTCTTTCTCTCATTCTCTCATTCTCTCTTTCTCTTTCTCTCTCTGTCTCTTTCTTTCTTTCTCTCTCTTTCTCTCTTTCTCTTTCTCTTCTTTCTTTTCTTTCTTTCTTTCTTTCCTTCCTTCCTTCCTTCCTTCCTTCCTTCCTTCCTTCCTTCCTTCCTTCCTTCCTTCCTTCCTTCCTTCCTTTCTTTCTTTCTTCCTTTCTTTCGCCAGTTTGTGGGGCCTGCACTCTGGGTCTGGGAGCTGTCCCTCAGCTCTTCAGCTCAAGGCTAGCACTCTACCACTTGAGCCACCTTCCCAGCCCCTTCTGGCTTTTTCTGCTTATGTGGTGCTGAGGAATCGAACCAGGGCGTCATGCATGCAAGGCAAACACTCTACCACTGATCCACCTTCCCAGCCCCCCTCCATTTCTTTTTCTTCTTTTTGCCCCTCTCCAAACCAGACAGAAAGAAAAATCCTTTTAAGTTTTTGTTTATTTTTATTGTTATAAAGGTGATATATAGAGGTGTTAGTTACATAAGTTCAGGTAATGAATACATTTCTTTTTGAGCAGTGTTGCCCCTTCCTTTCTGCTGTCCAAGGTTTTCCTTCCTGTCTCCCCCCACAAATTGTACAGTTCATTTTCAACATGTCTAGTGAGTATGACCGCTGCATTTGTTCACCTTTTGTCTCTCCATTTCTGTGCCCCTTTACCTTCTCAAAGACAGATAAATGAACAGATAAGACAAAAAAAAACCTCTTGTTTCCATTTCCTGGAGTTCATTTCGATAAATAATATTTTGTATGATCAGATGCACATAGGCATTGTGCCTTTGTGTTCCTCCCCTAAGAGTATCCTCCTTTACTCTCACTATTTGTTAGTCCTGTGTAATTTATCATGTCTCAGTATTTTTAGATCTAGCTTCTCCATATGAGAGAAAATATGCACTGTTTGTTTCTCGTATGTTTGTAGGGCATTTGGGCTGTTTACATAAATTGGCTGTTGTGAATAGTGCAGCAGTGAACATTGATGTGCAAGCGTCTTTATAGTATCCTGGCTTATGATGATGCCCAGGGGTGGTATGGCTAGGTCATAGGAAAGATCTATATCTAGTTTTTGAGGAACCTCCAGATTGCTCTCCAGAGTGGTTGTATTAGTTTATATTTCCACCAACAGTGTGATAAGGTTAATTTTTCCCCACATCCCCACCAGCATTTGTTGTTCAAATTCTTGATTTTGGCCAATGTAACTGGGGTGAGATAGGATCTCAGAGTTGTTTTGAATTGCATTTTCTTTATGGCAAAGCATGTTAAACATTTCCTCATGGGTTTCTTTGCCATTCTTACCTCTTCTGAGAATTTTCTCCTCCTTCATTTAGTGATTGGTTTATTAGCTTTGGGAAGGGTTAATTTCTTGATCGGTGTATTTTTGATTCTTAGGCCTTTGTTGGATATATTACTGGTGAAGATCTACTCTCAGGCTTTTGACTGTCTTTCTAGTTTAGTAACTTATGTCCTTTGCTGTGCAGAAACATATTTTGATGGAATCCCATTTGTCAAGTCTCTCTCCTGTCTGCTGTGCCCCTGGGTCTCTTCAAAAAGTTTCTGCCTATGCCTCTAAGTCCTAGTGTTTTTCCTACTCCTTCTTGCAGAAATTTCAAAGTTTCACATTTGATATTGAGGTCTTTGATCCACTTAGATTTGATAGTAATACATGGTGACAAACAGGGATCCACTATTAGTTAGCTGCATATGGATGCTCAATTATTGAAGAGACTATCTTTTTTCTATCATATGTCTTTGGCCCACTTATCAAATAGCAGATAACTGTAGTTACCTGGTTTTATTTCTGGGTCTTTTAGTCTGTTCCTTTGATCTTTGGGTCTACTTTTGTGCCAGTACCAAGCTGATATTATATCTCTGTAGTAGAGCTTGAGTTCTGGGATTGTGATGCCACCAGCACTGCTTTTTTTCTTTTTTCTTTGCCTACAATTACTTTGGCTATTTGAGGTCTTTTGTTGTTATATTAAGTTTTAGATTGTTTTCCTTGTCTAAACAAAGAATGTCATGGGGATTTGGATGAGGATTGCATTGAATTTTTAGATCAATTCATTCTACCTTTCCATGAACATGGAAGGTCTTTCCATTCTAGGTTACATTTATTTCTACCCTTCCTCCCCCCTTTTTTGAGGCTATTGCAAATGGAGTTTTTTTCCTTGATTTCCCTCTCTGATTGTCCTTTGTTGGTATAAAGGCTACTGACTTGTGTTTTTTGTTGTTGTTGTTGTTTTTTGTCGATGGTGGAGCTTGAACTCTGGGCTTGAGGCTGTCCTACAGCTCTTCAGCTCAAGGCTAGCACTCTACTACTTGAGCTATAGTGCCACTTCCGCTTTTTGGTAGTTTATTGGAGAGAAGAGTTTCACAGACTTTCCTGCCTGGGGTGGCTTTGAACTGCAATCCTCAGATCTCAGCCTCCTGAGTAGCTAGGATTATAGGCTTGAGCCACTGGCGGCCGGCTGTGGGTTAAATTTATCTCTTGCTACTTCGTCTGGTAGTATTCCAGTAAGGCTGGTTGATATTATGTCCAAACATTAGTTTCTAATTTGCCCTTGATTTGGAAAGTTCTATAATTCTGCTTATTAAAACTGAAAAGGGAATTACTTTATCCTACTTTCCTGTGAGGTCTTTTTTAAGTGATAATAGTGTTATCCAAATAGAAACTAGAAGTAAAAATTATTCTGTCTAAAAATTAGTTATAGTGCATGATTCTACATAGGATAGTTCCTCACCCTTGCTGTTAAATAATTCTTTCTTAAAAAATCAATCCAAAAGATTATACCAGTAAGTGAGTAAAGAGCTCACAGTATGAATCTAAACGTTATATGATTATCATTCAAAGCTTCTGAGCAGTGTAACTCTGCTAATATACTAAGTTCATATGATTCCAGCTGATAGCAAAATAAATTTGATTTTAAAATTATAGTGTGCTACAGTGAGTTGAGTTAATTTGGTTTCTTTTAGGGTCTTGCCATATCTTTAACTGATTATTTTCTTAAATAATATATTTAACTTAAATCAGATTAGAGAATAAAGTCATTAGTTCTTTGATTTTTAAAATTAAAAAAAATATATACTTTGATTTGGGAAGGACAGTTAAAACTACCTGAAGAATTTACATTGCTAGTTTAGAGTGATGATAAAAATATAAAATATTGGTAATGACTAATTTGTGGAATTCATGATACTAGTTAAACTAACATGTATGAAGAGCCTGTTACATCCTGTCATGCCCTAGTATTTTCTTGTGATCACCAGTCCTTGCAACAATATATAAGTTATCAGTGGCAAGTTATCAGAGGGTAAATAATTTGCTTATACATACAGGACCTTGTGCTTCCTGAGCAGGAACTTGAGCCACTCCACCAGTCCTTTTGTGTTTCTTATTTTTGAGATAGGGTCTCAAAAATAAGCAGAGTGTGGTCCTCCTGTTTATGCTTCCTTTTGTTATTGAATGACAGGTGTGAAACTTTCAGGACCAGCTATTTGGTTGAAACAGAGTCTTTCAAAGTTTTTGGTTTTTTTGGTTGGTCGTGGGGCTTGAACTCTGGGCCTGGGTGCTGTCCTTGTGCTCTTCAGCTCAAGGCGAGTGCTCTATGTCTTGAGCCATAGCACCACTTCCACTTTTCTAGTGTTTTATTGGAGATCAGAGTCTCACGGACTTTTCTGCCCAGGCAGCTGGCTTTGAACCATGATCCTCAGATCTCAGCCTCCTGAATAGCTAGGATTACAGGTGTGAGCCACCTGCGCCTGGGTTCTCTTAAAGTTTATGATCCCCAGACTCCACCTCCCAAATAGCTAGGGTTACAGGCCTAATCTACTAGGCCTGGCTCAGCATGCACTTTTTTTTTTTTGTCAGTCATAGGGATTGAACTCTGGGCCTGGGCACTGCCCCTTACCTCTTCAGCTCAAGGCTAGCACTCTACCACTTGAGCCATAGCACCACTTCCGGCTTTTTTCTGCTTATGTGGTGCTGAGGAATCAAACCCAGGGCCTCACATATGTGAGGCAAGCACTCTACCACTGAACCAACTTCCCAGCCCCAACTTGCACTTATGAAATGTGAAATTTGCATGACTTTTACACTGTGCCATTCAGGTTTTGATATGATGGTGATAGTGAAATGAGGAAATATTCAGTACTAGATATAGGATTGGATGTGTTTTTCTAAAGTGAAAATTCTACTGTGAGTTGTTTTAGCATTGCATGCATTGAAGAATATCTAAAAGTTCTCTAGATAGAAAATATGAGTACTTTTGCATTATGAATATAAAATACAAATTTTGAAATATGAATACTTCATTTCCTCATCTCTAGATATTCAAGAATTTTATGAAGTGACCTTACTGGATAATCCAAAATGTATAGATCGCTCAAAGCAGTCTGAACCAATCCAACCTGTAAATACTTGGGACATTTCCAGTCTTCCAAGCACTACTGTGACTTCAGAAACACTGCCGAGCAGCCTTAGCCCTACTGTAGAGGTAAGATCATTTTCCCCCCTAAAACTTTTTTGTGGTCATTTTATTTGGGCTACTTTAAAAAATGGTATTAAAATAGTATTTTTTGAAATATTTATAATGAAATAAAGAGAGCAGAATTAAACATTCTTAAAAAGTTTTGCTTCTGTCTTAAAAGGTTTTAACTGGTTTCAGATCTGAAATACTTGTTTTAAATAATTAAAAGTAAGACCTCAGTGACACTTCATCTGTGTAATAATATAAAAATTGGGCTTCAGGGCTGGAAAGCTGGCTCAGTGGTAGAGCGCTTGCCTCCCATGCAGGAGGCCCTGGGTTCAATTCCTCAGCACCACATAAACAGAAAAGGCTGGAATTGGTGCTGTGGCTCAAGTGGTAGGGTGCTAGCCTTGAGCTGAAGAGCTGAGAGACAGTGCCCGGGCCCAGACTTCAAGCCCCACAACCTACCAAAAAAAAAAAAAAAAGATATTGGGCTTCAAAAAGATGATATTAGGGCCTGGGAAAGTGGCTCATTGGTAGAGTGCCTGTCTTGCATGCATGAGGTCCTGGGATCGATTCCTCAGCATCACATAAGCAAAAATAGCCAGAAGTGGCACTGTGGCTCCAGTGGTAGAGCACTAGCTTTGAGCTGAAGAGCTGAGGGACAGTGTGCCCAGGCCCAGAGTTCAGGCCCTATGACCGACCAAAAAAAAAAAAAGGAAAGAAAAAGAGATGATACTGCTTTGGTGTTCTCTTTGAAAGAATATTGAAGTGTATTGTTTCATGGTTCCTTTAGTTATACCAAGAATTCCTGTTTATTGACTTTGTAGGGTTGTATTAAAACTGACTAGAGATTGATAAATAATCCTTAAAGTTAGCATTGATTTCTACATTTTTCTGTATTTAAAACCACTTACATTGAGTTTTAATAACTATCTTAGTAATGTTCTTTTCTTGTATTATACTGTTGCTAATAGGGTTGGATTATGGTACAGTGGAGATAATGAAGCATTTTTGTAATGAAGATTCTGCCTGAGAAGTATTAGTCATTTGAAAGTGGTTGCCTTTCTAAATTTGATTCTAGACCTTTCTTCTTAGAAGTAGACAATGCCTTGAAAATTGAAACTGCTTCTGTTTGGTTAGTAATAAATCAAGAGAAAAGGGATGAGAAGCAACTAGAGATAGCACTTTGGTAATGAAGTAGAAAGTGTCTCAGTTTTCTTTTTTATTAGGTAAAAATTTTTATTTTATTGTAGGATGAATTTTATTGTAGGATGAATCAGAATACATCTGATCCCTCTCCATCATGAGAAAACTAAAATGAAAAAAAAAAAGACTTGATCCAGTTAATCTGACTTACTTGTGTGAATCTATCTTTTGTTTTCAGATCTCTTTAATGTCTACTTTATAGGTCTCTAGTTATTGTGGAATAGCCTAATGTATTTTGCTTTGATCAGAGAGTCTGATGGTAGATTTTCTTTACTCTTCCCCCGCCCCCACTACTTTCTTTTGCATAATTTCTACTGTTATCCCCTTGTTTAGTTGATGTGTCATTTGTGTTAATGATAGTTCATTTCATCTTTTTCAAATGGAATTAAAAAATATCTGTAATGAGGTACTGCCATGATTTAAATGTGGTGCCTCCAAAATCTAGCTTTGCCAATGTGATGGTATTAAGAGGTGGAGCTGCTAAGAGGCGATCAGTTGCTTATCATGTGTGAGGCCCCAGATTCAATCCCCAACATGGCAAAAAAAAAAAAAAGGATTAGTCATGAGGGCTGCTTCTTCCTTGTGAATGTAATTAAGGCATTTATAAAAGAGGCTTTATAAAGCCTTTAGCTCTGCTCTCTGACATGCACTGGTAAAACAAGAAGGCCCTTGCCAGACCACCCTAGAGCTTAGATTTCTCAGCTTCCAGAACTACAAGAAATACATTCCTGTTCTTTAAAGATTACTCAGTTTCAGGAGTTGTTTTAGCTGCATGAAATAGAATAAAGCAGTTATATAGTTACAGTTTCATATATGTTGTTTTATTTCTTAGTTTAAAAAACATGAAAATGTTGATCTTTAAGGACATTGACTTTCATATTTAATTACTGTTTTTTCTGTTGTTTGATTTGCTACTCACTTGTGATTATAAAACACACAGTTCTTATTATCTAGTTGTCTATTTTTATAGATTATTTAGCTAATGATTAGATCAGTTGTCCAGTAAATGTAAAGATTCATTAAACTATAATAAATGGACAGTCTGTAAGATGGAAGTTTTTTGGTCACAGATTTCAGTGAGAAGGATCAGCAATATATTAAGTTCCATCAAAAATTGTATTAGAGAATTAGGGGTATTGCTTAATGGTAGGGCATTTGCTTACAATGCATGAGGCAGAGTTTGATTATGCACATCATAAGAAATGAGTAAACAGGGTATTAGAAATATTTGTGCTTTTACCAAAATCTAGAGCACTCACAACTTGAATGCTATGGGGAGGCTTGCTTTCTGCAAATTCTAAATGATATATCATAGATATGCTAATAGCACAAATGACTAGAAGAACAAAACATTTCAGATCTTACTAGTTTGGAAAATGGAGGGGAACAAAGTATTGCCTAGGGCATATAGAAAGCAGATGTTTTAGTAGTGTTTGTAGCCATTAATGGGTGAATTTTAAGGGAAGTGTTGAAATGTGTCGTTATATATAGAGTTTTATTTTATTTTTATTTTTTGGGGGGTCCGGTCGTGGGGCCTGAACTCTGGGCCTGGGCGCTATCCCTCAGTTCTTCAGCTCAAGGCTAGCGCTCTACCACTTGAGCCACAGCACCACTTCCGCTTCTTTCTGCTTATGTGGAGCTGAGGAATCGAACCCAGGGCCTCAGGCATGCAAGGCAAGCGCTCTACCACTGAGCCAACTTCCCAGCCCAGTTCTAGAGTTTTAGAAAGGGAAAAATAAGTGTGTTTCAAACTTCAGTAAGCTAAGGTCTGTTACTAGGAAGTACTGTTTTCACAGAGGTGACAGAATAACCTGACATCTGAAAGTATAAGTAGCTTAAAACATTGATAAATGACAAGTATAAAAGCTAAAAAAAAACATCCTGAAGTGTTTGGAGATTTTAATTTCTAATAGTTTGGGGATGCTGTAAGAGATGAAAATGTGTTCCCGTTATCTACCATTCATGCTTCAATTAGATGGGAACCTTCACTGAGTGATCGATCATTCACTTGGTCTTTTGTTTTGATCATGTTTCTAACTGAATAAAGACTGAGAAAATCTACTGACTCAAAACAAATACAAAAAAGTTTTTATTGGACTGCAAATTGTAAAATCTTAAAAAAAAAACCTAAGGCTTACAGGAAACTTGTTATACTTCTGCACTAAACTGCTGGGTAAAAAAATAATCTTTTTTTTTTTTTTTTACATGCAACATAGTCTTGCTTCTTTTACTTCATGTTTGCTTTTGTAGGACTATCATAAAGAGGGATTAATTTTGGGAAAATTGATCAAATTTTACACGGACTTGTGTTATTTTCTTAAAATGAGGGTTTTAGCATTTTAAATTATCCATCCAGTTTTCTGAGAGTTAAAAAACAGTTGGTAACTGACCTAACTTTTGCCAGATCCTCTTTTTTTTTTTTTTTTTTTTTTGGTTGGTCGTGGGGCTTGAACTCTGGGCTTGGGCGCTGTCCCTGTGCTCTTCAGCTCAAGTTGAGCGCTCTACCACTTGAGTCACAGCACCACTTCCAGTTTTCTAGTGGTTTATTGGACATACAAGTCTCATGGACTTTCCTGCCTGGGCTGGCTTTGAACTGTGATCCTCAGATCTCAGCCTCCTGAGTAGCTAGGATTACAGGCGTGAGCCACCGGCGCCTGGCTCAGATCCTCAGTTTTGACCTGCAGACCTGATATAGTATAATTAAAATTAATACTATTTATTTTTTTAAAGAGACATGATTAGTGCCCCCATTTTCTTAGTTTGGTGAGCCTTCTTTCCCTCTCTCCTTCCCTCCATCCCTCCCTCCGTCTTTCTTGCTATGTCTGCTTCTTTGAACACAGACTTACTTAGTGAGATGTTTGGAAAAATGTTTGCATAATGTTTAAGTGTTTTTTTTCTTATGTATTTTTCTGTTACTTATTAAAGAATAGTGATACTTAATAAAGAATGTTATTTAATAAGTTCATTTTTATAAAAATAATTGTTTTAAAATAAGAGAGATTCCTTACAATCAAGAGATTGTATTGTAAAGAATAGTTTATATCTGAAAGAAAACAAGATGAAGGTGGGAGTGTTGCCAGATTTACTATCATGTTCTGATAGAAAAGAATGTACAGTATATTCCTAAGATATTTCAAGTGGAACAGAGATTTAGTGACTTAACAAATGAAGCCATAAAATAATTTAAAAAATAATTTTGGAATAAGGAAACCTTTTCTAAGCACAACAAAACTAAATGAAAATCTACTATACACACACAGACACACACACACACATACATATAAAGATTAAGAATAAACTTAATGAAGGAGATTAAAGACCCTACCAGGAAAACCATAAAACCTTCAAGAAAGAAATGGAAGGAGCCACCAGAAAATGGAAAGATCTACGTTCTTAGATCAGTAGAATTACTATCATGAAAATGGCCAATACTGAAAATACTATTGAAAGCAATCTACAGATTCAATGCAATACCCATCCAAGTTTCTATCCTCCTTTGAAGAAATAGAAAAATTCTTAACTTCATGTGGAAGCATGAAAGACCCCAAGTAGTAAGAGCATTTTTAAGTAATAAAGAGCAATGCTGATGGTATCACAATATTAGACTTCAAATTATTCTACAGCCATCGTAACAAAACAGCTTGGTATGCTAGACTAGAAAAGCAATGGAACAGAATATAAGACCCAGGCATTAAACTACACAGCTACAACTATCTAATTTTCAATAAAGGATAGAAAAACATGCTATAGCAAAGATGGCCTCTTCAACTAATGGTGCTGGCAAGATGGGTTATCCGCTTGGAGGAAACTGAAACTTG